GGGAGCTGCTCTCTGACCTCCCTGGGGCGCGTTCCCACCCACCTCCCAGCAGCAGGAAAGGGCTGGAGTTGTTACATTTACCGGTGATGGAGGAATGTGGCTCAGGGGAGTTCTGAGAAGTGGCATTTAATCCTGGGTGCTCCACATTGCTCTGGAGGCTGACAGGTTTTTAAACACACAGCCCAGCAGACAGGCATCAGGGCAAGCTAATCTCCCTGTCGCACTCTCCCCTTATTACAGCTTGACACCCGCTGCACAGGACAGGCATGGCAGAGAAAAGCCCCAGAATGTCACCTACAGGTGATAGAGACAATGCACGAACAGTGGTGGAGGAGCCAGGCTGCCCAGGGACAGCCGGGTCCCTCTGAGCCCCGAGCTATCGTGCTGACACGAGGAGATCAAGTCACACAAGCTCCAGGGGCTCAGGGAAATTCAGAGCAGACCCGCTGGCCCCCACCGGGCTCAGCTCCATTTACAAAAGGAACGTTTTCCGAAGGAGAAAAGTCACGGCATGAGCCGGTGACGAAAGGCCAGTAGGGTGAACTTGTTCCTTAAGCTCCTCCCACCACTACCAGTTCCCATTCAGAATTTCCAGCGCTACCACCGCGGCCAGGTGACCCCTCGGCTCCTAGCACCCCGGGCTATCACTCAGGGGGGTGGCGAACACCCCGGCAAGCCAGAAAGGCTAAGCAGCATCATTCATACCGATCGGGTGAAGGAAGTAGCCTGCACCTCTCAGCCCTGAGGATAATCTGCAGAGGGACGCTGCAAACCCAGCCCCGCCTTCCTGGCCCACTGCCCCAAGGAATCCATTCTCTTTCCAGGGGGAGGTTTCAGACAAGCATGAACTGCTTTGGCATCACCCCCATTCGTAAACGTCTAGAACGTTCCCCAGCCATTAGCTCTTGTTCTCCTTCCCAGGGAATGAACTCTGTGAAAGGGCCGAGGCATCGGGATTTGCACTGGCTCGGAGAAGTGACCTGGCAAGACCCAGAGCTAACCTTAGCCACGCTCCGTCTCACAGCCCTCTCCCACTGTGAAACGGGGGGATGCGCTGGGCCGCGATCTATCGGGCAGTCTACACTCACAGGCTGACACGTGGCATTTGCTACAGGCTCAAATCTTCCAGGTGTCGTCACTAAGCAATACCCTAGGCAGTGTCCTGTGCGTGCTGCTCCCACAGCTCCGTGCAGACTGCCTCATGGCTACGCTCACACGCCAGCCCAGTCAGTGTGATCCTCTCTGGAGCCACACTGGCTCCTGGGGATTTATGGCAAAGAACAGAAACCAGCAAATCATGGTGCCAGTCTGAGGTGCTGTGACTCACTGCCGCCCCTTCCTTGCCAGGGCACCTCCACGGCGCTGCCATCGGGTCGCCAGGACTCAGGAATCCCACCGGGGAGCGGGACGGAGCATCCCTCGGGCAGCTGGTGTCTCTGCAAAGAAGGCAAAGGAAGCTCTTAGATCCCCCCGGCTGCCCCGCTCCCTCGTCCCGGTCTGTGCAGCATTAGGGCTCTCTCTGCAGCCGAGCTCTGGCACTCGCTGGCCTACTCAGGAGACCTGGCGCTTTCCACTCTCAGGGAACTTTCCAGCGTTAACTAATGACTCCTCGACTCCACTCCAATCCAAGCGGAGTCTCTGGGAGCTGCAGAATCAGAGCTCAGAGAAGATGGCCAAGGCTGCAGGGGGGAGTGAGCCTGAGAGGCAGGATTAGAGCTCAGAGGCGGCTGGGCCCCAGCCCTGTGCTCCGACCTGTCCAGGCTTTGAGTCCTGCTCAGAGCAGGTTGCAAGGCCTAGGAAAGGCTGGACAAGGGCAGAGGGGGCTGCAGCGGAGCAAGGTGACTGGCTGTTAAGCTCCTGCCAGGCCAGCGGGCGTTTGGGAAGCGCAGCCCCATCCTACATGTAAGGACGGGGAAGGCTCTCGTCCTGGGCTTCTGGACGAATCGCCTGAGCACTGGCCCCCCACCCCAGGGCACTCAGGGGCCACTTCTCACCACCACGGGAATGTTCCTCCCCACTCAGGCCTTTGCCAGGCTGGAGTGGGACACAAGCGGTGCCTAGGCCTGGTGCTGCCCTCTGGGAATCTGGCCACTCGCGTGCCAGTTGCATGCTAGTGCCACTGTGCATGGCTCGCCCCGTGTCCTACCTGGCACCACTGGCTACGAGAACACTGTAAAATAACCCCCCAGCTTGTCTTGCTGCTCCGGCCACGCAGGGGACTGTGTGTGAACAGACCTCAGGTCAGTCATTAGCAGCTGCAAAAGAAAGCAACCAACGCAGCAAAAGAGAACAGCATGCAGCACCTTCCGCGGCCACCCAGCTCCCCAGTCCCAGGGGCCCAGCTGGCACGGAAGGGAAGCCCCGCACTAATAAGTAACCCAGCAGGAGAGTCTCGTCTGTGATGCTCTGCCCCCCTGTGGGATACGGGGGCTCAGAGGAGACGGCCAGAGGCTCCCCGTTGCTGGGCTGGGCTGGGCTGGGCTGGGCTGGGCAGGGCTGGCTGGGCAGCCATGAGTCCCTGGCATGAGGGCTATCAGCCCGTCTTCCGAACAAGGGTGCTTTCAGGGGAAGCTGCAGCACCTCTCCTGCTACAGAAAGGTCCCCTTCACTGGCTTTGTCCCTGGGGATACAGAAATGGATGGACTGCGATCCTCTGGGGCCACCCCCACCCTAAGCTAGGAGAAAACATGACTGCAGAGACACTACTGGACTAGGAAAGGGGTGGCCAGTGGCGCCGTCTGCATGCAAGTCCCCTCCAAAGGAGCCCCTTTGGCTTGGGCATCTCTGGAGCCAGGGCATGCAGAAGCCAAGCCCCCGGCTTTCTCCAGAGTCGCTCGCTGTCTCATTTGATCAAATCCTCTTCATTACAAACGGCTTCTGCCAGCGGCGTGTGCGGTGTCAGAGCGGGGCTCGCCGGGTCACTCGGCGTGTGCGGTGTCAGAGCGGGGCTCGCCGGGTCACTCGGCGTGTGCGGTGTCAGAGCGGGGCTCGCCGGGTCACTCGGCGTGTGCGGTGTCAGAGCGGGGCTCGCCGGGTCACTCGGCGTGTGCGGTGTCAGAGCGGGGCTCGCCGGGTCACTCGGGCGCTGGCTGGACTCGCTTCCATTCATGGCTTAGGAAGGCGCCAGCTTTACATTCCGAAGGAGAGAGACGATGAAGGCGGAACAGGAGCTAATTGGGGGCCGCAGCTCTGAGCCGTGGAGTGCTGGGCGGCTGCAATGCTGTGAGCTCCCTGCGGTCCGGCTGCACAGCGAGCCCGGGGGGAGGAACAGGCCTGATGGGGGTAAGGGGCAGGGCAGTGTGTCTTCAGTTCAGGAAGAGCAAAATCCTGGCCCCCACCGTGCAGCAGGAATCACTTTGCTGACACTGCTTAAGCAAAAGGAGAAGATTCCCAGACACCAGCAGCTCCTCACGGGGCTGATCCCTGGCTACTTGTGCCATAATCTAGACCCCATGCTCATGGTCGTGCCTTCCTACGGGGCTACTCCCACTAACACCTGCACAGCGCCGGGCTGCGGTGATTCACACTATCAAAGGAACCAGCCCCTGTCCTGGAAGAGGGAGCCAGCCGTTAGTCTGGGGTGTGGAATCTGTACAAAATCTGACTCTGCAGGAAAAGGGGAGGGTGGGTCTGGAACCATTTCGAGATAGCTGTGTATCTCCATTGGCTGCTGCTGTCCGCTGCCTAGATTTCCCTTGAACTAGCTGCTTCAATACCTGATATGTATGTGGAGGGAGGGGGGGGGTGCGCGCGCGCACCTGTGTTGTTTTCAGGGCTCACTAAATTTTTTAAGTTGGTCCAAATTTTCTGATTTTCAAATTTTCAATTACATTTTTCATCAAAATTTGATTTTTGAAAAAAAAAATTATTTTTGATGCAATCAGGTGTTTTGGCCACCTCTAACTTATATGTACATTCACACAGTCTGTGTGTCTCTGTGTGGTGTGAACATGGGGACAGCTGGGGCAGAATGCCAAGAACCACTGAAGCATATTTTGTTACACTGTGTCCGAAGTGATGCTGGAAAAGGACCTGTTTCCTCTTTGTGTCACTAGGAGACAAAGCCACAGACACGCTCCATTGGCCACCAGCATTGAGCTCACTTGCAGAGGATGACAGGCCTCGTGCCTGTCACTTGGGGGCAGAATCTAGCTCCCAGGAAATTACCCCACCCCCCTGCAGCTTCTTCCCACCAGCAGTGCTAGAAAGGAACCCGCTTTGAGTTTCCTGGAGCCCATGCACAGCTGTCCCCGGGTCACGGTGTGTGTATGAATGACAGTGACGGAGGCATAGAAAGTCCACACCAAACAATTACCCATTTCAAATCATAATATCCTAGCCCGCTCGGCCTCGTGCATTACTTGAAATCTTCACGCTCTCGGTAACAGCTAAAGCTACAGAGAGGTTGGGTCGGATTCTAACCTCAGTTACATGAGAGGCTTCATCTTCAATGGAGTTACTCTGGATTTACCCCAGGATATCTGTGACTGGGGTCTGGCCCCACTTTTGTATTTAGCTGAAGTACAGTCAGCTGACAGCAGCCACTAGAATCAGACTTTGTTCATGATTTGTGTTCAAAAGCAATATGAAGATAACAACCATTGCCCTGGCTAAACCCCTCTGGAAATGGGCAGGGACGACTGTAGCACAGTCTCTGATGGGATACGGCTGTCAGCTAGGTATTATTACCTCTAACAAGTAGGTGTCTGTATGAAAATGGCTCTCCTGAGGAAGCCCCGGCATGCATGCATTTGCTGAACACCATGCACTGAGGCTAGTCCATAGGACCTGGGGCCTTCCTTGGGAGTCCGTAGGAAGGTTGCCCGCACTGCTAGAATAGATACAGTGGATGCCCATAAGAACTGTAGCAAAGGGATTCCCTGCATGGGGCCGTAAGATGGAGGCTGGGTTCTCTAAAGGTAGGTAATGCCCCGTTAGCACACTCCCTTTGTTGGGCCATAAGTGGAGTGTGATCCTGGGAATCGAGTGGAGAGAATGAATGACAGTGTGCTGGTGGCAGTTAACAAAATGTTCGTTTTGTGCCCCACTGAACTGTGATTTCTGGTTGCAGTCTTGGGCTGGCTGTTGGCTTGTGTATACACTGGTTGCAGGGAGCGTTAGCTAGTGTAGCATGTGGGGATGCTGCAGATGTGAATATGCAGCCGTATTGTTCGGGTTGAGCAAGGGATAGACAGGAAGGAAGCCAGGACTGAAGCCCAGCTTTGCACTTGGTCGGAGCAGAATGCACAAAGGAACAAGAGCGCACTCTAACGAGTCATGTCACACGAGCAGCCTGTGTGATGAGCTGAGGTGAGCAGAACAGCAGAGTGGGGAGGGGAATGGCTTTCTTCAGGGCGGAGTTAGAGTCACGTACACACCAGGATTGCCAAGATGCAATGTCCTGGGCGTTCTGTGCTGTTCTACACTTCCCCGGTCTGGGCATTGCCCCTCACTCACTCTGCCACGGCAGGACTTCCTAGTCCTTCATTCTGATTCCTGGCGGAGTGTGAAATCGGAACTCAGTCGGAGGCTACTGCACTCCAGGAGTGGCTGAGTCTGGTTCTGAAGCAAGCCTTCCTTTGCCTAGTGCACTAGCTGGGCATTCAGGAACTCGTTTGACTATGGCATTTGATGTATTTTTAAGAAGGCAGATCGGGGCGTTCCTTAGGGTTTTGAGAAGCCGCTAGGAATTAAACAACCCATTATTTCTAGCCTTGCCTTGATTGCCAGGGTTGGGATAGATTTTCCAATGCAAACGGTGGCAGAGCAATAATGGATGTGAAAATGGCACCCCAAAATGCTCTATGGTCGCATCAGTCAGATTAACTCTTTGCAGACAGGAACGGATGTAATAAAGTCCCCTTCATAGGCTGGACTTTCTCTGCCCTCTTCCACGTCCCTGTCCCTTTCCCCCCAGCATTGCTCCTAATTCCCATATTTTAGAGGAAATGGTGGTTTAAAGGCAGAGAAGTAAACCAGCATTTTTACTGCATTCCCTTCGGGGAGCATTGGAAACGATGCAAGGTTCCATTTACCTGTCTTAAACCCTATTCTTGATGTGGATCAAAAAGATGCTTCTGGAAAGAAAATACAGACAAGTGGCATATCAGTTAATCTGAGCCCTCAGCTGCTCAGTGCTGAAAATGGAGCCCTGTCTCCGCCCAGCGCCTGCCTCGCTGTGCTATTGTCCGTGCAGACAGGGCCGGGAACGAGGTTAGGAAAAGGCAATGACAACTCACAACTGATCATTCCACTTCACAAAGGAGTCAGCGAAGGCAGAGGGTGTCCTTAGCCTCCTCACTGCGGTCCGTTTCCCCACCAGGAATGACCCAGAGATCGATGGGAAATAGCAGGGCACTGATGGACATTTTTGGTGATGAACCAAGGAGCTGAAGGCCAGTCCTCGCTGGCCCCTTTCCAAGGTATGTCCCCATTTGCTAGGGAAACCCCCCTCTGGTTTCCACACCGAGTTTTATCAACACCTATTTATCGGCATGTCTCTGTGCACACACCACACCTCAGTGCTGGTGGTGCCGAGAAGCTGGCAATGTGGGGACAGGCTGAGTCCTGGGAGAACACCCCGACAGAAGGCTGTGACCATGGGGAAGGGGACCGTTTCACCCAGACAAAAGAGAAAACCAAGATAAGAGCATCCTCACCTGATTTCCGTGAGACACCGCGGCGCAGGGACCCCGGGCTGGGCGAGATGTTGGCTGGTGTACAAGCCTCTTTGTGCTGGAGCTTTCGAGAGAAAGAGAGAGAATCCCTGGGTAAGATATTACCATGCAAACTCCACCCCATCTTCTCGACAGCAGCTCCCCACGCCCCCACCCGGCCGCCCAAGCAGCGCTGCTGGTGCTGCATACGGCCCAGGAATCTGCTGCAGCTCTAATTAAATTTTAATGCTGAAAATGCAGCCAAGTCACCTTCACTCCTCCTGCCCCTTGTGCAATGTCCCTCCCCCCGTGTCCGCGCCTCTTGCTGAGCCCCCCGACACGGGGCAGGCGTGTGCCAGGCACGGGGGGGTGCCCTGCGCCGAGCGCTCACGGGCTGGGTGCTCCGGGGTGACAGGGGCTGGGCCGCAGCTTGACAATCCTGAATCATTAACGTCGAAGTGAATAAAGGGAAACCACTGAAAAGCTCGGAATAATCCGCCCATCTGTAGGCTGCTGAATGGGCTGTGTCGGAAACCAGCTGCCGGCTTATTCAAAGCGGGCACTTATTCACCTTCTGCTGGAGCCATCTGGGCTGCCATGGCAACGGCAACCATAGCAGACCTGGGGTCAGCTCACACAAAGGAGGGGGGAGAAAGATCCGACACCGGCCCCACGGCTCATTAGGGCCCCTCTTGTGGGGGGCCGGGCTGGATGGAGGCTGCCGCGCCCAGCCCCACTCTCATCGCCCGTAGCCTGACAGCTGTGCTGGCTAGGAGCTCTGCTGGGCTGGGCGGCCACAGAGGGGGTCCCTGGAGGGTGCCAACATCCTCGGATAATACCCTCGCCCAGCTCCACCTGCCAGCTCCACTGCTCCCAAAGGCTGCAGCCGTCGGCCCCTGGGGCACAGCAGGGAGGAACTCACCCTGGCAAGGGGGAACTCGGGGAGGAGTGAGGCGTGGTGCTCAGCTCCGATGCACTCACCACGGCTGGACCCCGGGCTGGCAGCACTACTAAGAGATTCCATTTCCCACCTCTGGCTTCCCCCGGCCCTCAGGCAACTTCCTTCCAGGCAAGGATTTGGTCCCCCATCACCTCCAGGCTCTTCAACCCACCGTCCCTGGGGCGAGGAGACACGTGGAAAGGTCATCTACACAGGAGCATCTTCGCACCGCCCGCTCCCAGAGCCCTGGGGTAGCGGCGGCTGGGCTCCTGCTGTGATTTAAAGGGCCAGGGGCTCCCAGACGCAGCTACCGCAGCAGAGCCCTCGTCCCTTTAAATCACCGCCGGAGCCCCGGGGGCCCGGCTACCTCCGCTACCTGGGGCTTCAGCAGCAGGGCTCTGGCTGCAATTTAAAGGGCCCGGGGCTCCAGCCGCTGCTAGGAGCCGCAGACCCTTTAAATTGCCAGCTGGGGAAGCCGGTCCGGTCCGGCATACCAGCATCCTTTCACCTCTGCATAGCAGGGTCCTCTAGGCAATGCACCGGACAAGGTGCAGGCGAGGCTCGCTGGAGGCAGGGCGTTCCATATCACGGTGCTCAGAGGTGAGGATGAGCCCAAGCCGGAGGATTCCCAGGGAAGGCTGCCAGGCCTCCCACTCTCACCCGAGGCAGGATGCAGCAACAAGGAGTAAAACCCAGTTCAGTGTGCACCTGCCTTCCCCGCCCAGGAGAGGCCAAGCGCAGAAGGCCCATGGGCAGCTCTGGGTGCAGACAGCGCTCAGATACCGTGCTGGTGCTGGGAGTACCCGAGGATGGGTGCGATTCCCAGCTCTCCGATAAGGGGCAGGCGGGAACTGCACAGGGGGCTGGGGCTGTTTGAAAGCGGTTTTCTCTGGTGCAGAAAGCTGCAGGCACAGCTGTGTTCTACCCCAAGAGAGTGGAGAGGAATGGAGCAGCGTGCTCACAGGTGTGCCTCTCTGCACAGTGCCTGTGGGTGGCTTCTACCATGTGCTCAGAGGTCACTGCTGTAAGGGGAGCTGCCTCCCCCAGGAGAACTAACTCCCAGCTCAGTCCTGAGGGCAGGGAGGGCAGGGCACCCCGGGCTGGGAGCTGGAAAGCACCTCCCCTGCCATGTGTGTCGTTACGGGGCGTGGGCAGGATGGGAGTCTGTGGGCATGAGAGCAGCCAGGGTGGGGGCGCACGAGTGACTCTGGGCAACAGGCTGAGCCGGCTGGTCGGAGAGTTCACACACGCACTCCTGGAGAAAAGCCCTTCGTCCCCTGAAGAGACGCCATGAAGGGCAGGTGTGCGGAGCCTGCCTTGCTGTCTAGCAGGGCTCGGACTGAGGAGCCCTGTACCAGGACTTACCCAACTCACATAGGACCCTGCGGCTGCTGCCTCGGTTTCCCCTTCTTGGGCTTGTCAAAAACTGCACCCAGGCACTTGCACATCACATCACACCCCTTCCTGGGTCTGGTTTGTTAAAACAACTTCTGGCCAACCTCAGCTTAACTCTGACCAGCCTCTCCCCACCAGCTGAGCTCAAGTCAAGGCCTGCTGCCTGCTGGCTCCACCCAGAGCACTGGGGTCTGCTCCCTGCACTGGCCTGGGCGCCGGCTGGGAGAGAAGCTAGTGCTCTTTCAGACAGACCAGTGAGTAGCTCCGGAGTGCAGCAATCCTGCCGGGTGGTGCAGACCCCGAGGTGCCAGCACAGCTGCCCTGCGCCAGCGCTCACGGCCCGGAATACCCTGCCCAGCGCCGGTCCCTGCCACGAGGCCTTCGCACACAACTCAGGGCTTGCCCCGCTCTCCACCTGCGCTCTCAGTGACGGGCGGAGAAGCCCAGCGGCTGCAGCGCCATCGCCTGCCCGGGAACGTCCTTAGCTCGGAACAGCATACTGTGTCTCAGGCCAGGTCTGCCCTCGAAGGTTAGGCCAACTTAGCTATGTGGCTCAGGGGAGCAACGGAGCTGAGCTGACCTGACGCCCCTGCAGACAGCGCTACGTCGGTGGACAAATTCTTCGGTCAGCCTAGCACAGCCGCTTGGGGAGCGACAGAACCACAGCGACAGGAGAACCCCTCCTGTTAGCCCACAGCCGCTTGGGGAGGTGGATGAACCACAGCGACAGGAGAACCCCTCCTGTTAGCCCACAGCCGCTTGCGGCCCAACCAGCACACAGCTGACATCCTCTGGGCCACACAGGCCGTATCTATCAAGTGTGGCCGCGGCATAACAACGGGGACGAGCTTGCGACCCACTGGTCTCCATGGAAGCACTCCGGCAGAGCAGCTGCAGCGTTGACGAGCCCCTGCACGGCTGGGTTTAAACGCTCTCTGGCGGCTCAGCGCTGTCTTGCCTTCGCTGGCTGCCTAATGACCTGGTCTCCCGCTGTCCTGTTCTGGGAGCAGCTGGCCGGAGCTGGGCCCTTTGTTTGCCAAATACATTCCCCCAGTCTGGGAGGGGGTGGGGCCACACTCGAGGGGCCTGGCGCTTCCCTAGACCTTCCTGCTCTCTTGTGTCTGGGGGGGTTGGGGGCTGTGCTTTCCATCCAGCCTGCCCTCTGCCGTCGGGGAGAACCACACGCAGGTGGGTGATGCCTGACTTGGGCACTGTGCAGGGCCGGGAGGACCACCCCTCACCTGCCCGTGCAGCACAGTGACCCCCTGATGCTCTAGCGGGATTTGCCGATGCGTGCCGCTCACCCAGCACTGGGCACTGGAAGGACGCAGATGCCCACACCCAGGGCCGTGTGGCATTAGGATGGGGGCGACTGGGACCAGACAAGGCCCTGGCCAGCTCCATCAAAGCTCTGACACTGCGCTGCTAATGCTGTGAGCCTGGCTGGGCTCCGCTCTCTATGCACGTCACCCTGCTGTCCTCCTGCTCTGGCCGCTGTGCTCCTCCGGGTCCCTCCCGCACGCTCTGTGCTTCCTCCCCACCGTCGCTCAGGCCTCTCTGCACGCTGACCCCTCCCTGGAGCAGCCTCACCCGAGCTTTGAGCCGTGCTCCCAGCCCGGGCGCTGGGAGGGTGGGTGCAGACGGGGCCCTGGCGCTCATGCTCTGAGCTGTCTCACCCTGAGAGCCCCTTGGCAGAACGGTGGCACCCAGGGTCTTGTGTCTACAGCGTTAGCTGACCTGGGCCAAGCTGCCGGCTGCAACTGAGATTGAGCACTGCATGCTGCGGGCTCCACATAGTCTCGCTCCGGTGCAAATTAGGTGCAGCTCTTGGTCTCCTGGCAAGTACCAATACAACCGTCAGCGCTTGCAGGCTGCTGCTGGAGCGTGCCAGTGACTGGCAGCCTGCCGTGGCTGCAGGGCCCCTGGGGGCGTTGGGGGCTGGTGCCCAGCACGTCACCACCCTTCCCAGCACTCAGCACACGTGCGGAGAGCACCAGCGCCAGACACACAGAGCCCATCGTGGGAGCCAGGCAAGTGGTGTGTGACTCTGTGCAGCGTGGGATCGCATTAGCCACGCTCCAGCCAGGCAGAGATCATCCTGGGGCAGGAGTCGATCTGAATTGGGTAGCGGCTAAGTGTCAGCTTGGATCCAGTGCCTCAGCGAGATGGCCCAGCGCAGGGAGCCTTCTGGGCCACCCTCCTCTCCCTGCTGCTCCCGCTAGCGGTGTGCACAAGCAAGCAAGCAAGCAAGGGTCCCCGCCCCTGGCTAATGCTGGGCTGCCCGGGCCGAGGGAAGCAGGAAGCTGTGGGCTGCGCCGGCTGAGATGCTGGAGTGGGGAAGGAGGGGGGAGAAGTGAAAAGCCCTGGCAAGGTCCTGCTAATAGCAGAGTGGTGCTGACGGCAGCCCCGGTGCCCATCTTCCCTGATCCTGGCACACGGTGCGCCAGGGAGCGGGGGTCCCCCGTCCGCCCCGTACAGAACGGCCGCCCGGCTGTCCCCACCCCGGGGTCCCCCGTCCGCCCCGTACAGAACGGCCGCCCGGCTCCCTCCAGCCCGGGGTCCCCCGCCCGCCCCGTACAGAACGGCCGCCCGGCTCTCCCCGCCCCGGGGTCCCCCGCCCGCCCCGTACGGAACGGCCGCCCGGCTCTCCCCGCCCCGGGGCTCCCCC